GTACTGCTGTATTGTTGTCCATAGCAATTTCTGTGGGGTTTTTTTTTTTGTAATAACAAAAGCATATAGTGACTTTCTTCAGGTAAAAAAATCTATTTTGCTTGTTCAAATAGGACAAGCCCCTGAAAAGCTTCAGTATAATTATGGTTGTGAAAAAGGATGGAAGCTACTGGTATTCTGAGTGTTGGCACTTCTCCAAGGTACCTTGGACACATGAGCTAGGACCAATTTTCAGTAGCAACAAGCAAGGATATATACCAGAGAGGTTGGAGCCAAACACACGACCAGAGCTTGAACAGACCAGTGAAAACTAAACCCTGCTTACCAAACACAGATATTTTATGGGTATCCAGGTCAGAAGAGCTATCCCAGAAGTGTGTGAAAGGAAGAAAATGTGCAGCTACGTGGGTTTGTTGAGAAATTAGTGAATCAGTGGTCTGACTGTAGAGTTGCACTGCACTTAGTGAGAACTGGGCTTTAACAAAGTATTGGTGCCAGGATAAACAAGGTAGAGTAGAAATGCCTCGTTAACCACCATTCCCTTTCCCTTGACATACATGCAGTTATTTTTTCCCCATTCCATGGTGCCCCCCTCAAATGTTCATAAGAACAGTTGGGGACATGGGCCCCATCTGTCAAGGTGTTCTCTCAGGACAGGAGAAGCAGCATGTTGGATTGTTAGGTGCCAAGACCTGCTTGGGTTAGGTCGCCATCACACTCCAGCATGTGTCCTTTCCATGGAGTGCAGTCCTTCAGGAACAGACTGCACCAGTGTTGGTCCCCTGCAGGGCCACATGTCCTGCCAAAAAACCTGCTCCAGCATGGGCTCCTCTCCATGGGGCTACAGGTCCTGCCAGGAGCCTGCTCCAGCATGGACTCTGTAAAAGTCAGTTCTTTGCCATCCAAGGAGGAAGACAAGGACACTTAGTATTAGATTAATAAGGGAATTTATTCTCTCATATTAGCTATGTGCAAAGTGGTGCCCCAGCCTAATGCATGGAGGACCCTGATACAGAGGAAAGCAGGGTTTAGATATGTTACAATACAGTTGTGTAGACCAATCAAATTACTCATGTTAAGGAGTGGGCTAATCAGTTACTATTTCTCATGTAATCAGTATGTGCTTGTCCCATGAAGGTGGTGTGGACGTATGGTCAGTGGTGTGTTAATCTTCATTGTTCTAAACCGATGTCCCATGCAGGTGAAATGGTTTTATACTGGATTCTGCTCAGTTGCTGTTCTGGCTATGGTTATACGCCTGGTTTCCTAAGAAAAATCTCCTATTGTTTTATCACTGGTATGGAGTGTTCTCAGCTAGTAAGAGCCAGTTTAGTTGGGTCTTCAGGTCACATTGACCCTGAGGTAACAAGTTCATAGTCCCAGATAGTGTTTGTTCAAAGCAAGTCATATTACAGTTACTGCCTTGCCTTTCACAGCTCTCTATGGGGTCAGAGCTTCCTTCAGAGCATATCCACGTTTAGTGCAGGTCCTCCATGGGCTGCAGGGTGGATATCTGCTCTGACGTGGTCTTCCATGGGCTGCAGGGGGGACAACCTGCACCACCATGGTCTTCTCCACAGGCTGCAGGGGAATCTCTGCTCTGGTGCTTGGAACACCCCCTCCCCTTCCTTCTTCGCTGACCTTGGTGTCTGCAGAGTTGTTTTTCTTACATATTCTCACTCCTCTCTTCCAGCTGCTGTTGTGCAGCAGTTTTTACCCCTTCTGAAATATCTTATCACAGAGGTGTTACTAACAATGCTGATTGGCTCAACTTTGGCCAGTGGTGAGGCCATCTTGGAGCTGGCTGAAACTGCTGTCTGTCATGGAGGCAGCTTTTGGCATCTTCTCACAGAAGCCATCCCTGCAACCCGCCCCCCCCTTCCAAAATCTTGCCACATAAACCCAATACAACATCCCATAACAAGTCCTGTGCAATACCAAACTGCTTTTTTCCTGCATCCCATAATGTGTCCCACCCCTAGGCAGCAACCCCCCATTAGACTGAAAAGTGATCTGGAGAGCTGCTCCTAATGACTCTGATGGGTTTCATGCCTGGATAATGGGGCTGATGGTTCTGCTGAAACAGCTCCAGGAGGAGTCTGAACTAGGTATTTGTTCCTCAGGAGTCTAATTTGGGTTTCCCCACCTGTCATTGTACCTCTGTGCTCTTCAGGGTTTCTAGAGAAACTGTCGTAGTTTGGCCTCAGCCAGCAACAAAGAACCACACAGTCGCTCATGCAACTCCCACAGCCGTAGAAAAAGGAATCGTCAGAGCAAAACTCGTGGGTTAAAATAATGCAATTCAACAGAACAGCAAAAGGAAAAGATGAAACCGCGATTACAGTACCGCCGCGATGTGCACCAACCAGACGCGCGCCACCGCAGCCTGCTCCCAAATAGTGACTCCTCTTCTTCCCGGCTAGCTCCTCTTATAGCTCGGGCATGGGTCGCGTGGTATGGAATACCTGCCCCCTGCCGGCTCCTGGGGAAATTAACACCATCCCTGCCGAAACCAGGACAGGCACCTAGCAGCCAGCCAAGGTCAACTCACCACAGTGGACTGCTGATAAAAAAAAAGAATTATATATATCCAAGTATGTGTGTCAGCATTAGTGCCTCACACAGCTTCAAATTTGTTTTTCACATTAAAATAGTCAGCCAGATCTATTGCACAATCAAAGGCACTGCATGGAAACAGAAAATTAAATTAACTTTCATTTACTTTAGAAGCATGAAAAGGAGAAGAGACAGAAGCACACTATAGATAAGGAATGCAAAAGGAGATTGCAATGGGTCTGGTAGGATGGACTTAATTTTCTTCATAGCAGCCCATAAGCAAGTATGCTGGGGGTAGGCAAGAAGTTTGGGGGAACACAACCTGGACAGCTGATAAGAATTGACCGAAGGGATATTCCATACCATATGATATCGGACTCAACTACGGGGAGGGGGTTTTGGGGAAGTTAGCCATTACTAGGAGACCGACCGGTGTATTAGGTTTATGTGGCAAAGTTTTGACAGGGTGGGGTGGCTTCTGTGAGAAGACACCAGGAGGTGTCTCCATGCCAGACAGAACTCCAAGACAGACCCACCACTGGCCATAGTTGAACCAATCTGCAAAGCTGGTAGCGCCTCTGTGAAAACATATTTTTAAAAGGGGGAAAAAAAACCCACAACTGTATAGCAGCTGTGAGAGAGAAACAACCCTGCAGACACCAAGGTCAGAGAAGAAGGAAGGGGAGGAGGTGCTCCATTTGTCAGATCAGATTCTCCTGCAGTCCATGGAGTACCCCATACAGGAGCAGGTGGATATGTCCTGAAGGAAGCTGCAGCCCATGAAGAAACCACACTGAAGCAGTTCTTGAAGGACTATAGCCTGTGGAAAGGACCCATGCTGGAGCAGGGGAAAACTGTAAGGAGGAAGGAGTAGCAGAGATGAAACATTATGAACTGACCACAACTCCCATTCCCCATCTCCCTGGGCCACTTGGAGGCAGTGATGGGGAAGGAGGTAGAAGAGTCAGGAACAAAGGAGTGAAGTTGAGCCTGGGAAGAAGGGGTGGGGGAAAGCTGGTTTTTAGTTTTGTCTTTGTTTCTCACTATCCTACTCCATTTTAATTAGCAATAAATTAAATTACTCTTCCCTCAGTCAAGTCTGTTTTCCCCATGATGGTAATTGGTAAGGGATCTCCCTATCTTTATCTTGACCCATGAGCTTTCCCATCTTATTTTCTCTCCCTGTCCTGTTGAGGAGTTGGAGTGAGAGAGCAGTTTGGTGGGTACCTGGCAGCCAGCCAAGATTAACCCACCCCAGCAGGGTATCAGTCTACTTGTGGGAGGTGGCAACTGATTACTTTTGCATCACTTGTTTTGTGGGTTGGTTTGTTGGGTTTTTCTCCTTCCTCTTTCCTTACTTTTGCCCTTCTACTTGTCTTCCCCATTCTGCTGGGGGGAATGACTGAGTGATTGGGTGGGGACTTAGCTGCCGGCCTAGGTCAACCCACCACAATGATGGAAATAGGGATAGTAAGATAACCCTGTCTGACAACATACCCATCAGCCTTCTCTAATCTTAGGGGGCCACTATACCCAAGAAATGCCCCTGGTGTTTAGAAAAGTACAGAATTCAATATTTCCCTACTGAAAAAAATTTAACACAAAAAATAATGTTCATATTCTAGAAACTGAAGTATCTGCCATCAGTTTCTGAGAAGTTGCTACTTTTTTTTACTACAGAAATATTATCTATAATATTTTTCTGCATTCTACAAGAATGCTTATAATTAGAAATCAACTTCCACAGATACTACACAACTCTGAAGATGCTTACGTCATCATGCATATTTTCTTGTGCACTCTAAGCCTGGACTGTTAGCACATTTATGAACCTAATACAGAAGCAAGACAAAAAGCACCATACTAGTCCCTCAATAGTTCTCTGCATTACAAGAAAAAAAAATATCCTAGAAATCCATTCATTTCTTTTAGAAGTAGTATAGTATCAACAATCCACAGAACCCCCTGCACAGCTGCTTGTGCTACATGAGAATACCTAGGCAGCCACAGCAGCCATACCAGCAGATCCTCACACAATGCATTGATAACCACTAACAATCCCCCAAAACTTGTACCCACGTAGCCCAGGGTACTCTAGAAACTACTGGAACCACCCGGTCCCCGACTGCAACCAGCTGATCACCACACCACTGAGGCTCACACAGAGTAAAATTCACGCCTAGACCGACTGTACACACAACCCAACTCCACCAACCTCCCAATCATCACCCTCTTAGATAATCAACTCCTATAGCTTTCGGGGATTGGTGGAAAGACAAGGATTCGAATTACGCAACCATCTCCGCTGGCGTGACCACGCAGCACGCCATTGGCTGGCCTAGTCCACCAATAAGCACTGAAGTGTTAGATTCAAATTGAGACGGGCGCGGAATCGCGTGGTTGCTTTGTGAGAAGAACAAGTGCTGTTGCTGTCTCCGTTTGCTATGGCTAATAAGCAGATCTACTATTCCGACAAGTATTTCGATGAGCAGTACGAGTATCGGTGCGAGACCGGGAGGGCTGGGCTGGGCTGGGCTGGCTGAAAGCCTTAGAAAGGGGCCTCTGTCGCCAGAGGGAAAGATATGATTTGGGAAAAGATATGAGGGGAGGGAAAGATATGATTTGGGTGGGTGCCTCTTTCTCGGACTGTGAGGTGACTTTAGGAGAGGGGGGGGGGGATTGGGCGATTCAGTTGCTGGGTTTGGTCTGCCTTGTCTCCTTTCTGGAGTTATCTCTAGTAAGCGGGTAATGCCAGCTCCAGTCAGAGGGCATTGAAGGAAGCGGTGGGGATGAAGCCTGCTAGGTTTCCCTGGCGCAGTGGCTGTGGCAGAGATAAACGCTGCTGAGTGGAGGGCAGCGCTGCTGGATGGTATGAGCTCGACCTTGAGACCTAGATAGCCTTCTATGTGTCCGTTTAAAACTATGCTGTAGCACTAATTCTGTGGGGGTTTGGGGTTTTTTGGTTCTGTTCTGAATTGTAACTGATGCTAGCAGGAGTGACTTCTAAAAGTGCAAAGTCTGTATTTTTCTAATCATGTTACTGCTGATATGATAGTTGATTGCCATGAATGTACTTATGTACCACAAGTACTGTGATTAGAGCACGCAGGGGACTGAATCTTCTGTTTTAGGCAGTAAGTTGAAGATTTCAGTGTACAGTTGCATTAAAGATGTAATGTTTGGTAGGCAAAGTGAATTTAAAATTGCTTTTTTGAACTGATGCCTCATAATCCAATTAGTATCCATTAATACCGTAGGCTTTTTTCTAGGAGCTTTTTGATATTCATAACTGAACTTGCGTATTGTCTTTCAGTATAGAGCTGTGCAAGTTTTCTAGTGTACGCTAAGATAGGCACCGGGGGTGTATGTGTAATATGAGTTTAATAATTAAACTTCTACAGACATGTGATGCTGCCGAGAGAACTTTCAAAGCAAGTACCAAAAACTCATCTAATGTCTGAAGAGGAATGGAGGCAACTTGGTGTTCAGCAAAGCCTTGGCTGGGTGCATTACATGATCCATGAGCCAGGTAAGCACACCTAAACAAAACAAGATGAACAAAGGAATCTAAAATACCACCTCTCTGGTGCTTGAAACTGAAGCTCAGTGTGTAATTACTTTCCTCTAGAATCCAATTGGAGTTTACTGCTAAATGTTTAGACTCTTCTTTATCTGCCTGCTATTTTTACCAACGTAAGTGGTGTAGCAACCTTTATTCTAAACCTTCACCCCTCTGTCTCAGAACTGGATGTGCAAGATACCTTCTAGGTATCTGCAGTCTCTTAACAGACAAAGCACACTAGATTTGAATACATTCCTATCTCTGCCTATAAAAAGAAGTTTTGGTGAGATCTTGAGTTATGTTAGTATCTCAGTGCCTCAAACTTGATGTAGCAGCACATCTTTGTATAATGAAATTGACATACCTACCTCATACAAAAACCTAATAGATGCTCACCTAGATGAGGTCCTGTATCAGTGCTATGAAAAAATCTGTTAAAAGCTACACTGAAGCCAGGGTCTTTTCAGTTACTGAGCTGTGATGCTCTAAAACTTCACTAAGTATAAAATACTGAGAATAACCATTCTAAATACCTTTTTAGTCAGTCTTGTCAATGGTGGTGTAACTGGTGAAGGATGAATTGGTTAGTCCCATGGAGTTCCAAGCTTCCAAAGAACCAGAAGTAGTAATTAGCCTAATCCTTCAGTGTTTGTCTTATCTGGACACCTTTGATACTTTCAATGTATTGCTTCAGGCTTTTTTTGAAGGTACTTATGATTAAGTTAATGCAGTCAACTTAGGTTGCTGATAACTAAAGTGGCTTTTGATGCTTGTCAGTACATACTGGACCAGGATAGAATCACCACTTCATTAGAGTAAGTTACAATGATAAAGTTCATCAAATAGCCCAGTGTAGAGACAGAACTTCTGCTGGTTTAGGAGGGGGTGTTGGGTTGTGGGTTTTGGGGGGTTTGTGGTGGGTTGTGTGTGTATTTATTGTTTGTTTGGTTTTTTGTTTTATTAGTACTTCCTTAAGCTTATGAAACTGCCAACTTTTGTTATTAAACTTTCAAAAGCATCCATGGTTACTACAAAGTTGATCTGGAAATACTATACACAGAGACCTTCCTGTGGGCTTGATCTCTTAGTCTGCTTTTTATCTGGCAGGAGGCTTCAATTATTGTTCAAGCTCTTTTAAATCAAAGAAGTATCTGTAATCAGGACTTGAGTGACAGGCTGATGCTTTGTTCACTTTTATTTTCAGAGCCACATATTCTTCTCTTCAGAAGACCTCTTCCAAAGGATGAGCGAAAATGAACTGCTTTTTAGAAATCTCCTAAATCTTCTGGAGCTTTACATGTATGAGTGTATATAAGTTGATAGTATTCAGTGAATACTTGAAAGTATACAAAACGTACATCGATGCCTGTGCATGAGCTGTATTATTTACAGCAACAAAGCTCAGTCAAATGCAATTCCAAGTAGGCTGCAATTATATTAAAAGATTAATGAAGTTATCTTTAATGTAATTGCCTATTTGACTTTTCATTTAATTTGTTTAAGTTTATATATTGCATGTTCTGACTAGATAATCACTTGTTACCCTTATTGAATAACTTTCACATTTATCTTTTCTACTAAACAGTTTAGCCTGTTCAAATCCAATGGCTGCACCTGTTCAGTAGTAGGCATAAAGGAATAAACTTTTAATGTTCCATAAAATCTGAATGTCCTAATTAACCAGACAAAACTAATATTCTTGTCTAACATGTTAGAAGGGGTATCCACTGGGGGGGGGAATTAACTTGGCAAAGCTACTGTGTTTCTGTGCAGGAATTGTTTTACCCTGCTATTGTGACTTCAGTTGGGATAGAGTTAGCTTTCTTACTAGCAGCTGGTATAGTGCTATGTTTTGGATTTGGGATGGGAATAGTGTGATAATGCACTGGCGTTTTTAGTTGTTGCTAAGCAATCAAGGCCTTTTCTGCTCATAGTGCCCTGCCCGGGGGAGGGGGCACAAGAAGTTGGGAGGAGATACAGCTGGGACAGCTGACCAACTGACCAAAGGCATAGTCCATGCCATGTGATGTCATGCTCAGCATGTAAAGCTGGGGGAAGAAGGAGGGGGCGTTTAGAGTCATGGTGTTTTATCTTCCCAAATAACCATTAAGCAGGGCTCCATCATGCATTCCTGGAGAAGACTAAACACCTGCCTGCTGATGGGAAGCAGTGAATGAATTCCTTGTTTTGCTTTGCTTGTGTCTGCGGCTTTTGCTTTACTTATTAAACTGTCTTTATTTCAACCCATGAGTTTTTCCTCACTTCTACTCTTCTGATTCTCTTCCCCCATCCCACCAGGGGGGAGTTGAGTGAGCAGCTGTGTGATTATAGCTGCAGGCTGGGGTTAAACCATAACACCTGCAGTCCTATGTTTCTGACCCTTATTTGAGTTACTCTTATAAAAAATATAAAGTTAAAAGTAAATCGAGCAAATTTTGCAACTATCTCTGACTAGTTCCCAAATAGCAGCTAAGTAATCTGAAAAGAAAGGTGGCAGTGATAGGTAATACTCGGACTAGCCTCTGAGAACCTGAAACTACTGGACTCTAGAGTTGATGCTGGTTGTAATGCGATTACTTATCCTGCAGTGACTTAAGCTATCTCTAGGGTTTAAACTTGTCCTAAGGTGTTTAGTATACTAAAAACTTCATTGAGCTTTTTAACACTTAAGTTGTTTTAGTAGTACTAATTTATCTTTCTGCCCCAACCTTTAAGTTGGGTTTTAGTCTGCACTTCTTGTCTTGTTGGTTTGTTGTGGGGTTTTTTGTTTTGTTTTTTTTTTCTTTTCCTCCTAAAAAGCTAGCTTGTATTCTTTCTGGGTGTGGACAGCAGTGGTTTAGAAGTGTGGTCAAAGTAAACAGTGCTTTCCATCTAACAAACCTTGCTGGTAACAGAACAGTACATATTCAATTTCTTTAAGCCTAAAAGGCCATAGCTAATACAGTAAATCTCTAATCAGTCCTTATTTAGAAAGTTGTGTGTCAGCATAGATGAGCAAGTATATGGACTCAATATAACAAACAAGTTCAGGGGTGATTAGTTGCTGCAAACTGGTCCCTGTGGTGGTAGCCCTGCAATTAGATTATTTTTTTTTTTTATAGTGCCTCAGTATAACTTGTTTGAATACAGTCTACAATATCACTGATACTGTAAAGGTGATATGGTGCCAGAGAGAGGTAAATGATGTTGTGGAATAACTAGAATGCTGTTTTGATCAGGTTAGAACAGAAAAGTGGCTCACTGCTATAAGAGAGAACACAGCCAGTTGCAGTTTATGTACCGTTTTAGGTTATACAACTTGTTCTTTCACCAAACCATGTCAGATAAGCTGGACTACAGTAAATCACAACAAAGAGTGGTAACATGCGTTACTTCAGATAGGGAGGTTCCAGACAGTCAGATAAGGAACTTCTAGACAGTACCTTTTTACTAATAACTCACTCCTTTGTTAATTAAGTTGTGTTGACTTGGTGAAACTGTTAGGTCATGCTGCAAATATTTCTGAACTAGTGAGGCCTATGAGGTGTTAACTAGTCTATTTTCAGTGACCTTCCATAAATACTGTATGGGCCTATATCATTCAACTGCTAAAGCCGTAGAAATTGGAACAGTGTGGCCTAGATGTTTCCTACCCAATTCTGGAGCCGTCATCCTGATAGAATAGTGAGTAATCATACTTATGCTTGGTCTAAATTCATACAGGCTTATGCCTGCTTCTGGTGACAAAGATCAAATGTGGTGTAGAACAGGTACCCTGCCTCAGGTAGGATCAAACCAAGGAAGCTGTACCAGTCCAACACTACTCTGTTTGGGTAGGGGATGTTCATGTGTGTGGTGAAATATGCTGTCTGTAACTTTCAGCTGCCAATTATTTGACTCTCAACCACCTGTGGCTATCAGCTGATCAAAATTTTTATCATCAATGATATTGTCTTAGGAAAAACATTGTTTGCTGTGGCTCTACCCAGGAGCTGCAGCATGAGCTGGTTCCTTTGTGTATCTGCTGCTCTGCCTCGCCCCTGGCTCCCCAGCTGCCAGTTGTGGAATCGGCTAGAATGCCTGCACCAAGCGAGGGCAGGGCTAAGCCTGTGACCGTGGCACCACCCCACGTGTCACATGGCAGTGACATCATTTCACTGTGCTGCTCTGCAGAGTGTGTGGGTAGACTGGTACACTGCGGTTGGGTGCTGCAGCCCTTCCTTGCTACGTCCTGGGAGAGGTAGTTGGACTGGGCTCGGCCCGAGGCAGTGAGGTAAGGGTGGCGATAGTCCCGCATTCCCGTGCTCCCTTCCCTCCTTTCCCCTGACCAGTCATGTAACAGGCAGCTTCCCCTGAGACCTTCTCCCTTTGCCCCAAGGCATCCTTTTGCCGGTCACAGGAGCTGAGAACAGGTTGCCCTAATCCCTGTACAGATACAAAGACTTGTGAGGGGTCCTCATGGTGAGCTGTCTGTGTCTCATCCATCAGTTGGGCTCATGCAGCAGATAGACAGTAGAGGGGTCACTTGCAGCAGGAGCGGTTGCAGGACTAAGGCCTCCACCTTGTAGAAAGATATGCATGGGCATACGTTTCTACAGGAACAGAACTAATAATTTACACTTTCCATTTATATGAGCCTTTATTTCCACATAGGAAAGAAAAGTCTGTCTAGAAAAGGAAAATCACAGAGGAGAGAGTTGAGGTGAAAGCAAGTCACTTCTCATAATTTGGGACAGGGAATCTTGTACATTACTTTCAGTGAGCTTAAATAAAAAAAAAAAACAAAACAAAAACCCAACACTTATTTGAAGAGTGGCGAGTCTGATGAAAGAACATGTAGACATCTCTGTCACTTTAAAGGTATATGCATAAATCCCAAATAACAAAACCGATGTTGCATTGCATATAGATTTCTTAGACTGAGGTACCTTTAACGTTGGTTGTTAACCTTAAATCATGGCTACTTCCTGTGATATGTTACTTGGTGTATTGGGTTTATGTGGCAAGGTTTTAGTAGCAGGGGGGCTGCAGGGGTGGCTTTTGTGAGAAGATGCCAGAAGCTACCCCCATGTCAGACAGAGCTAGTTCCAGACAGCCCCAAGATGAGGCAAAGCTGAGCCAATCAGTGATGTTAGTAGTGCCTCTGTGATAACATATTTAAGAAGGGGTAAAAACTACTGCGTGACAGTAGCTGAGAGAGAGGAGTGAGAATATGTGAGAGAAACAACTATGTAGACACCAAGGTCAGTGAAGAAGGAGGGTGGGGAGGTGTTCCAGGTGCTGGAGCAGAGATTCTCCTGCAGCCCATGGCAAAGACCATGGTGATGTGTAGGTTGTCCCCCTGTAGCCCATGGAGGTCCATGGGCTACAGGGGATATCCAGCAGATATCCACCCTGTGGCCTGTGAAGAACTCCATGATGGATAGGTGGATGTGCCCTGAAGGAAGTTGTGACCCTGTGGAGAGCCCATGCTAGAGCAAGCTTCCTGGCAGGACCTGTGGCCCCACAAGGGACCCTATGCTGGAGCAGTCTATTCCTGAATTACTGTACCCTGTGGAAAGGACCCACACTGGAGAAGATTGTGAAGGATTGTCTCCTATGGGAGTGACCTCACACTGGAGCAGGGGAAGAGTGTGAGGAGGAAGGAGCAACAGAAACAAAGCGTTATGAACTGACCACAATCCCTGTTCCCCATCCACCCGTGCTACTTGGAGGGATTGGGGGGGAGGAGGTAGAAGAGTTGGCAGCTGTGAAGTTGAGCTTGGAAAGAAGGGAGGAAGTGGAGGGAAGGTGTGTTTTAAATTTTTTTTTCTCTTATTTCTTATTATCCTACTCTGTTACAATTGTCAATAAATTAATTTCCCCAAGTCAAGTCTTTTTCCCATGATGGTAATTGCTGAGTGATTTTCCTGTCCTTATCTTGACCCATGAGCCAATATTTGACATATTCCCCCCCCCCCCCCCCCATCCTGTCGAGGAGGGAGAGTGATAGAGCAACTTGGTGGGCACTTGGCAGCTAACCAAGGTTAGCCCACCACCCTTGGCTAGTGAATAAGGGATTTTTCAATACCTTATTTGCTTGGTCAGTAATGCTTTGTTCTAACACTGTTGTAACATGTCTATAAGTGTTTTATTTAACCCAACTCTTCTTAAAATACAGACATATAATTATGAGATGCGTTCAAGTGAGAAATCACTGAAAGTTAATTTTTCAGGAGCAAGATGCTTTTACAAACAAACAAAACCCCAACAACACCTCCCCACACACATATCCCCAT